TAATCCAGGCACTCATCACTTATTGCCTATACTTTTGGAAAAGCTTTTGAATTAGTCTCCTAGCCTGGAGTGTGGGAAGAGATATAATGATTAGTGAGGCTAGAAATATAGGTTGTGGCCAGTTTGTGAAGGGATATAAAATCTAAACAGGGGAGTTTAATTTTATTGTACTGGAGTTTCCTGAGTAGGAGGGATGGCAGGGTCAGATTTGTACTTAAGGAAAATCATTTTGGGAGCTGTGTAGAAGATGAACTGGAGGAGTGAGAGATTTTTAGCAGGAAGACCAAGGTGATAAGTCCCTGAACTAAAGTGGTGGCTGTGTTGAACTAGATGGCCTCTGAGGTATCTTCCAGCTCTAAGATTCTTTGATTCTGAACTGAGTTTCTGAGATAGGAATGAATATGTTGTATCTAGAGAGGGGTAATATAAGGCAGGAGAGCAGAAGATAGAAAGGATACTAGTCAGAACAGAGTAGAGAGTTACTGATGGAGAATAGTGGGAGATAAATTGTATAGGCAAGGTAGAAGCAGATTATGAACGTCCAGAATGCTAGATTCAGGAGCTGGGACTGGAACTCAACAGATATTAAGTAACAATTGTGTTTATTTAGCAAAAGAAAAACACAATGAAAATATCATTTAAAAATAATCTGTAGTTATAGTCAAGATAGTCATGATAGGCAGAAAAACAAGATAAGAGACCATTATGGCAGTCCAAGGATAAGATGATGAGCCTCAGTGAGGATGGTGGTAGTGAGAATGAAGAAAAACAAATGTGAAAGATTATGAAAAATGAATTATTTTGGTATTTTGAAAGTTCCAGGCTGCCATTGGTACAGGTACCACCTCCACAGATCCTAACATTCCACACCTTAATAGTTCATTTTAATGGGCTGCTATGACAAATGAACTTCATCACCTGGTGGTGAGTTTTGGGTGATAATCAACTAGTCAATCAACAAGCATTTCTTAAGTTCTTACTATGCAAAACACTAAAGGAAGTATTAGTGATACAAACCAAAAACGAAATTCCCTGTGGTGTATGAGTATTCAAGAAGGACTAGCACCTTTGGTGTGAGGTCTAGCCAAGCCCTTTTCAGGGCTGCTCATCTACCTTTGGTGCCCACCTAACACCTAACTCTCATCTGTGGTTCTAAGAAGCTATAGCATGAGCGGAAGCCACACTTTGGTAAACTGTCTCAGCAGAGAGACTAAACCAAAGCATCAGTGAGTTAGGGGGGTATCTACCCCAAGCATGTTAAGATTTTCCCCATGGAATGGGCAAATGAGACCAATTTGTTACAACAGCCATGAAGGCTGCTGAAGCAGGTATTGTGGAATGCTTAGAGCTCGGTCAGACATTGAAGATGACAAGGTCATCCACTGCATCCCTGGCTATCTTTAGTTGTCCTGACTTTTGTCTCGCCACTGGACTTCGATGACTCTGAAAAAGAGAGTGAGGCTAATAACTTTGTGCAACTCTGCCTCACTTGAATCCAATTCATACGTGAGTCAAGACATCACCCTGTGATATCACTGGTCCTCCTTAAAAAAAAAAAACAAAGAACAAATAACAATGATACTTCTAGAAACCTAAAATTTTAGATCAAATAGGTTGCTGCATTTCAACAGAAGGATTTGAAATCAAAGAACTGGGTTCAGAGTTTGGTTCTACCCTTTACTAGTTGGAGAGCTTTGGATAGGTTGCTTTACCTCTCAGGCTTCAGTTTCCCCATTTATAAAAAGATTGTGGGAGTACACAAGTTCAAAGGTTCTTTCCCATTCTAAATCTATGAATTTATTGTCAGAACTAAAGTATGACAGGCATGTTAATTCGCTGCTAGTGGAGCTGTAAATGTGCTCTGAAGCAATGGAGTAGCAGTTCTTGTGTTTGCTGGGATGTCTGTGGTGTCTTAGCTCTCGCTCTCTCTCTCTCTCTCTCTCTCTCTCTCTCTCTCTCTCTCTCTCTCTCTCGTATATGTACACACATATATTTAATTAAAAACAAATATGCAAAGATTCTGTGGGAACGATTATCAAGTTTTAGTACCAGATTTTTTTTTAATAGAAAAGCAATAGAAAAGCTGAAATTAAGAGTAAATTCTTTACACTTAATTATTTCATCAGATTTGTTTCCTCTAAGACAGCTAGAAGGGGTCAGGGAACTGAGCCCAAGTGTATTGTAGGGGTTTTGTCTTATCTGATAAAGGACTCGCTTTCTTATAATCCCCGGGGCCAAAGAGGCAGGCATTGATTAGAGGAGAGCAAAGACTCAATTTCCCATAATGCCATGGGACCCGGGAACAGGCTTGATTGGAGGACAGCAGAAGCAGCTGGGAACAAGAGGGATGACAGGTGCAAAGGGAAGAGGAGAGGCACCCAGGCACCTGCCAGTCTGTATTTCCGGGAGTGGCCAAAGCAAATGGATCCAGTGGTAAGCTGAAAACAGCCCTGGCAAGTGAAGTCAAGGTGAGGAACCTGAGAGGGAAGAACAGGCAGGGCATCACATGGTACAGATGCTGTGTTCCCTGAAGTTCTCCAACTCCATCCTTGCTATGTGAGCTTCTCCCATTGGTGTTAAGAGTTTTATTCTTTGCAACCAGAAGTTCAATCTCAAGTATATCCTTATCTGCTTTGTAACAAAGATTCTTTAGGTTAAAAAAGAAGAGGAGGAGGAGGAGGAGGAAAAATAGTTTTTCTATATTTTTAAAATTAATCTAGTACCAAATATTCTTGATAATCACTCCTGTACTTTCACTTATTAGTAAACAGGAGAAAAAAAGAGATGGGATAGTGGTTGGAGAGGATAACAAGGTTAAAGGAAAAGTTCTGAAGATTTTGTTTCTGAGGTTTTTTCTGGTTTGTTTCTATGATAGAGAAGACTTAAGTATGGTTATAAGCAAAGAGGGAAAGGAGAGAACACACCAAAGTGTCTTTTATCATTCACCATACCAGGGACTTTGTAGGTGATATCCTCAGTCAGATGCTGACCACATCTTACAGCTGGCACACACGTCTTCCCTTTATCTCTGGAATTCAGAATTGCAGGCTGCCAAGGTAAAAAGTCCCCTCCACTATTTCCATTGCCTCTTCTCTTATCCCAGTCCAATTCAGGGCTGCCCTTCCTGCAGGCCCCCAACTCTTTCTTTCCATTGTGCTCTTTGGAATCTTCATTCTACTATTAACGAATCTACTTTTGTCTTAGATCTTTTCTTAGGATCACAGAATTAAAAGTTGCAACTTGGAAGGGAACTCAAAGGCCATTGAATCCAATGCCCTCATTTTACAGATAAGGAAATTGAGGCACCAGAAGGTTAAGTGACTTGCCCAGGATCACACAGCTAGTCAGTATCTGAGGAAGGATTTGGATCCACTTTTCTTGATTCTAGGCCCAGTGCCCTAACATCCTGACATCCTACTATCTCTTGTGCTCTTTCAGTCTTCTTACTCTCATAGAAATTTGGATTCCTCAAACTATTTGAATCATTCCCCAAAGAAATTTGGATTCTAGTGAGGCAGAGCTGCACAAAGTCATCAGACTCTTTCAGAGTCATCAAAGTCCACTGGCAAGACAAAAGTCAGGACAACTGGTGATAGCCAGGGATGCAGTAGATGATCTTAGCATTTTCAATGTCTGACCAAGCTCTGTCTGGATTTAGATGGTTAAAAACTAAGAAAAGGCAATGGAAGTGTTCAGAGAGCTGTCCACTACTGGACAAGAGGCCCTAGAATGAAGAAAAGTTCAGATGTCTATTCCCAAGTAGACAGGAGTTCAGTAAGATATTCTCAAGTAGATAGTAGGCCAAGGAGGTGTCCAAAGCCTGCACAGGAGCCAGTGATTACCCCTTAATCAGATGGGAAGCCAATAAAACTATTGAAAGGACCAGGAGGGTTGATTCATCTATAGGGAAACAACATGATCCATTAATCACACATGAGAAACCCTGAAGACTCATTCCTAGGGAAAAAACATGATCCATTATGCTTTTAAAAGCACAGCTACTTTCCTCAAGGAGTCCAACATCTTTCAGATATATCAATCAATTAAAACATAACATCTTAGTATAGCTTGGGCCAACTGTATTCAAACCTCAACCTATGTGTATTCCTCATTGTGTATACCCAAATCCAACATAAGAGACAAAAAGAGAGAAAATCATAAGAAAAGAAAGTAACAAGTGCTTTTATCATTTTAGTGTTATGATTACTTGTACAAAAAAACCAAATTAACAAGGTCAAATATAAATCAACTAAAACAACTTAAATTGTCTTACCATTGCCCTTAGGAGGACAATAGCTTGTTGTCCAGTAAACACACACACACACACACACACACACACACACACACACACACACACACCCCTAACATAAATGCAGATAAATTTGTGAACTGGTTGACAGAACACCCACTTGTTACTTCTGATTATTACTGAACATGCTTAGAATATTTTTCTTAAATGTTAAAAATGTAAAGTAAAAAATGGCCAAATTCTTTCCCAATATTTAAAAGTTTCCAAGTAACTACTTTTCAGTTCCTTGAAATGAAACAAGATCAAAATGTATTCCAGTGGGTAAGGGGGTGAATGGCTTTCTACAGTTTATGGTTTAAATTCTACTGGATGGCTTTTAATGAAGTATCTCTCACCTTTGCCTTACTATAAAGGGTAGACATTTTCACTCCAATAAGGAATATTTTGAGAAGCATAAAATGATTTTTAAAAGGGCTGTAATGATAGAAACCATTTTGACTAAAGCTTGTGTTTTAAATATTTATTGTAGCAATCATAGTTCACATAATTCAAGTTCACTGAGGACACTGGGGGAAAGGAAAAAGGAAAAAACATAGAAGGGAATGAGTAAAACATAAGCAGGAGTCATAAAAGTAGATCAGATTCATTACTTTAATTTCTTCAAATTAAACCAATTCCCCACATTTTCCCAACAACAATAATGCAGAGGCAGTTTGACTATGTAAATAGGAAAAAAAGCCACAGTACTTACATTTTTTGGAAGCATCTGAATAAAGTTTCCAGCTATATCTAATGTTTTTAAATTTCTCAGTGAGCAGAGCACCTGAGTGACAGATAAAAAAAGATAAAGTAAAATTTTTAAACATCTGTAAGATTTTAAATATAGAGATCTAATTTTAGGTCAAACTTAATAAAGAATATGGCCATTCAAATTAATAAATAAAATCATTAAAAAGAAAAAAATGATTACTTCAAAATATTTTTCCAGTGATGTGGCCCATGACCCACTGAAGAATTGATGATTCTATGATTTCCTTATTCAAAATGCATCTTATTGGAAGCCTCTTCACCGTCTCTAGCAACATCCAGTATATAACAGAGATAATCTTTTCTGGACAGGACACAGATATATTCAAAGTTGTGTCCATCGATAAGCAGAAGAGAAAGGACGATGGGAGGTTGGAAAGACGCATGGATTTTTTTCTGGCAAATCTTCTTTTAAAAGGGGAAGGGGAAGAGCATTTATTAAGCACCTACTATGTGCCATTCACTATCTAAGTGCTTTTACAAGTATTATATCTCATTTGATCTTCATAACAACCCTGCAAGATAGGTGCTATTATTATTCCTATCTTACAGCTGAGGAAACTGAGGCAAACAGAGGTTAAATGACTTGCCCAGGGTCACAAAACTAGTAAGTGTCTTGAGAACAATTCTCAAGGATATGAAACTGATTAATCACACTAGGAGACTAGGAGATTAAGTACTTAGGGCTCCTGATTTCCTCAGATAGGATATGACACCGGGAAACCATATTGTATCATTTTGCAGTGGTTAGGGCAGTGAGGCACAATTAGGGAAACCACAGATAACAATATTAGTGTCTAAGAAGGTCAAGTGAACTGTTCTAGTGGCACAGAGAGAATATGCCATGTTGATGTTTCTAACAAACAGATGAACATTTAATGCAGATTGCCTGCACGGTTCGTAAGATGAAAAGGTAAAAGGGCTCAAGCATTACTTCTCTGCTGTTCACCTAATCAGGACAAATGAAATATTCCCCAGCAGGATGGAGGAAAAGACCCAGAGGAAAAATAAATAAGACTAAGATTCTAAATAAATAGGTGGGGATCCAAGCCAGGGGCCTAAGGGTTATGAAGTTCAAAAAAAAAAGAGGGGGGATAGAGTGGGGCAGCGGTTCTATAAAAAGTTTGAGATTCTTCCAACAGAAGATGGGTCTAGATCTTATGAGGAAGAAAAAGCTCCTACACTACAGGAGAAAAAACTATTCACAGATAAACAGACCAAGAATCAGGGAACCTACTACTTACTGGTCAGAGGAGAGATAATTCACGATAGTAGAAAGATCCCTGCCAAGGGGCACAGAAGCAGAAAAGTCAATCAAAACTAAATCATCTGAAGTGTCCTATCTTTCCAGAGTACACATTTGGGATGTTGCAGAGAGGCACCTGAAAACTGTCCCACCTGAAAACTATTTCTAATGAAAGACAAGATAACTGTATTTCACAAAATCAGATCTCTCAGAGTTGGAAGGGACCTTGTAGATCAGCTAGTCAAATCTGGAACAGGAATACCCATTCAGTATCCCCTAAAACAGAGCAGCTAGGTGGCACAATGCATAGAGCACCAGGCCTGGAGTCAGGAAGACTCAAATTTAAATCCAACCTTAGACACTTACCAGCCATGTGACTCTGAACAAGTCACTTTGCCTTGTTATTCTTAGTTTCATCACCCATAAAATGAGCTGGAGAAGGCAATGGCATGCCACATAGTATCTTTGCCAAGAAAATTTCAAATGGCGTCATAAAGAGTTGAACATGATGAAACAACTAAACAACAACCACCTAAAACATGTCCAGCCATTACTTGAAGATTCCAGTATGAGGAAGTCAAATCAACAAGCATTTATTAAGCACCTACACTGTGCTAAGTGCTGGGAATTCATATCTTGATTCAACTCATTCTACTTTTTTTACAGCACTCAGTGTTAAAAAAGTTTGGTCTGTTTTCCTCTTTTCAAGTCAAAATTTGCCTCTCTATAATTTCTGTATCTGTTGTTCCAAGTTTCCCTCCCTAGGAATAAGAAGGACACGTTTAAACTCCCTTTCACATGACAGTACTTTGAAGTCTTTTCTAGGCTAAACCTTTTCAATTTCTTTGGTCAGTCATTGTATGATAGAAGCTCTAGTCCTCTTACCATCTAAACTTCCCTTTCTCAATGCTCTTCAGAAATGTGGCATCCCAAAGTAATAGTATTCACATGTAGTATGAACAGTTCAGAGTGCAAAGCAAAACCTTCTTCACCTTCTTCATACTGGAGATTTTTATTTAATATTTTATTTTTCCCCAATTACATGTAAAAACAGTTTTTAACATTCGTTTTAAATTTTGAGTTCAAATTCTTCTCTTCCCTCTCCTCCCTCTCCTCCCTCTTCATTGAGAAGACAAGCAATTTAACATAAGTTATACATGTGCAGTCATGCAAAGTATATTTCCATATTAGTCATGTTGTGAAAAAAAAAACACAGACCAAAAAAGAAAAAAGAAAAATGAAGAAAGTAAAAAAGTATACTTTAATCTGCATTCAGACTCCATCACTTCTTTGTCTGGAGATGAATAGCATTTTTCATTATAAGTCCTTCAGAATTGTCCTTTGTATTGCTGAGAATAGCTAAGTCATTCACAGTTGATCACTGTGCAATATTGCTGTTACTATGGACCATGTAATCCTGGAGATTTTTATTGACACAGCTTCAGATCACATTAGCTTTTTGCCTACTATGCCACCTTATTGACTCATGCAGAACTAAGTATTCACTAAAACTTTCAGGACTTTATCCACACGAACTTCTGTTTTGCCACATGTCCACTTCCCCCATCCAGTAATCCTAAAGCTGACTTTTCAAACCCAAGTGTAAGACTTTAAATTCATTTATATTTATTTATAAATTTATCCCTTTATATTTACTTATCAAATAAATGTATTATTTAATAAAACAGCAAATTTTGATAGAATTTAATTTTATCAAATTTAATTGCTGCATCTCCCATTTCTGGGTTCTTGCCCTGGCTATTCCATAAGACTGCAATGCTCTCCCTTCTTGTCTACACTTCCTCAAGTCGCTCCCACTTTTCTTTTTCTGACAAAGTTCAAGCACTATTTTATGCATGAAGTCTTTCCTAATTCCTGATTCTCCCAACTGCTGGTGCCCTCACTCCCAAACTTTCCCATACTTTTTTTTTTGAGGCAATTGGGATTAAGTGACTTGCTCAGAGTTACAGAGCTAGTTTTATGTGTCTGTGGTTGGATTTGAACTCAGGTCCTCCTGACTTCAGGGCCGGTACTCTATCCACTGAACCACCTAACTGCCCCAAACTTTCCTATGTTTAACTACTTTGTATATATTTATATAGTATATTTTACATATGTTGCTGTTGTGTCCCCCATTGGAAAGTAGGTGTCTTGAAACTAGTGATAGTTTAATTCTTTGTACTTGTATCCCCAGTGGTTAGCACAGTGCATGGCACACAGTAAATGATTAATAGATACTTGATAATTAATGAAACCCATCATTCTTGACTTGGGAGATCTTTCTGGATCCTGACTCAGTCATACAAGAGTTAAGCCATTCCTCCCAGCTTTTCACCACCTACAAATCTTTATTGGTTCAATGCCTTAATGCAAGCCATCTATGGTATTGATACAAATGTTGAATAGCATAAGTCCAAAGACAGATCCCTTGAATCAGGTTCTCTCAATAGAGAACTGTCTTCAGGTCAACATCAATCTCTTAATTGTTTCTATGGGTCCAAACCTCCAACTATTTCCAAGTCCATTTAGCTTGACTCTTACATCTTTTCATTTTGTCCATAAGGATTCTATGAGAAGTTTTGTCAAGTAACTTGTTGAAATTTAGGTATTCTATGTCTATAGAACTCCCTTGAAATATAAAGCTAATAAATGAACAAAATAAATTCATATAGTTTCACATCATCTGTTCTGACTCTGCTCAATAATACATTTCATCATTTTTTCTAGGTATTGACTGGTCTAAAATTTGAACTATCTACCCTCTTATCTTTTTTAAAAATCATCCCCATAGTGTTTCATAAATCATCAATAACATGTGAGTAATTACATCTTCCAGTTCTTTCAGCACCCTAGAATGTACTGTGTCTGAGCCTGGTGGCTTGGATACAGTGACAACAACTAGGTACTCTCTAAGCATCTGATTTATTTTAGCTTTCAATTTCTTTTTAACCATTTTTGTTCCTTCCTTCCTAGATGAAGATCATTCTCCTTGGTAGAGATAGCAGAAGCAATATGAGTTGAATAATTCTTCCTTCTATCACTCATTATTATCATTTCATTCATTCCTAGCAACAGGCCTGTCTCTTCTTTCATCTTCCTTTTTGTCCCAACTTTTCCTTAAAAAATAAGTAAATAAACCATGGCTTGTCCTCAGTGTTCATTGCCCCACTTAATTCTGAGCCATAGTGCTTCCGACCTTTTTCAGGACCAAAATTCTTATTTATTCATCTTCATGAACTGCAGAGGCAAAATAATAGCTGTCATGTCATAGTCTCCAGATATCTGTCAGTGGTCTCTGCTAAAACCAAAGAGGATTTTAAATTCTTGACTTGTATTAATGATCATTCCTTACTTCAGAAGATGGGGAAAATAATTATAGGTACTGGCATTATATATACCTGTTTCTGACTAATAAGTAAATGGTTGGCAAAGAGAGAAATGAGAACCTTAAGAGGCAGAGACCATGCCATCTCAGTCTTTAATATATAAGGAATGCATGATAAAATCAGGCATCTATGTCAGATTTTAGGAAAGTGAATTTCAAAGACTTTAGAAGTAGGAGTCGTAGTAACCAATGGCCTGATTTTCAAAAACGGAAATCTGTTCAATAGGCATTCAAGAACAAAATTTTGTCAATGTGCTCATAAATAAGTCAAATGAGGAAGAAAAGGGAAAGTACATGAGAAAATCATTCAAGGATTCAGATTTTTAAAGGATATATACAAGAGATAGAAGCTACGAAAGGTAACTGAAAGCAAATAACAAACTGG